ATGACTTCTACAGAGAAAGGAAAGAAAACTTTCTTTCTCCTAGGACACTGCTTAGGAGAGAGGCCTCTGGTCCACACACAGCTTAGCTTCAGAGACTCCTTCTGCTCTCGGCCTGCCCTGGTCACTCTGTCAGCCCTCTTAGAAAGCAAGAGAGGATGACACCTGTTTTCAAATAAGTAAATTATATATCAGTGCCTCAACTGAATCACTTGTCTCCTGCCTATACTGAACTCTTATAAAAATGTCTACCTCTGTCCTTTCTTAAATATCAGAATTGTAAGAACTGGAAGTATGTGTATCTTTCAATGTCGCAAGCCTCATGGGTAGCAAAAACACAGATTGAGACTACAGTTAAAAAGCATTTGTAGGTACAACTTGCTAGTTTCCTAATGCAAGTATTCCTCACAGGCTCTCCTCCTGCCCACACTCTCCTTAAATGGTGGTGCTCCCAGTCTGCCACCACTAGCCTCCCTCTGTGCCCATTCTCTGGCTCTGGGCAGAGCTCAGCAGCTCCCAGGGCGTCATCCCCACCCCAAAATGCTGAGATCTCACAGGGAGCTCCCTTCCCACTCCAGGCCCGTATTTGTAATTGTGCACTGGACACACCCCTAGGATAGCCAACGAGCATACACTCAACCTATCACAAATTAAACTCCCGTCTCTCCCACCCTAAAACCCTGGGTCCTCTTCCTAGCACCCCATCTTGATGAGAACACCATCACAGCCCCAACACCCAAGTTCATACCATGAGCAGTATCCTTGGTGCCTGTGTCTGCCTCGCCTCCCTCACTCCCCATCAGTGATTCTGTCAGTTCTATTTACAGCTCTCAGAAAACCCATTCCTGCTACCACACGCTTCGCTCAGGCCATCACCTCCAACTTAGATTCTGGCACTCTCCTCACTGGCCTCCCTCTCCAGGCTCATTCTCTCTGCCACTGCCAAGGTGATCCTTTGTCAGGCAGGGGCCTGTCAAATCCAGAGACAGAAAGGAGAACCCAAGGCTGCCAGGGCTGGGGGCCGGGGAACAGAAAGCTGCTGCCTAATGGGGACAGAGTTTCAGTTTCAGAAGACAGGAAGTCTGAATGGATGCTGGTGAGGTCCGCACGACAGTGTGTATGTGCTTATTACTGCCACCGAACTGTATACTTAGAAATGGTTAAGACGACAAATCTGACGTGTATTTTATCACAATTAAAATAAAAAAAACAAAAACAACAACTAAAAACAGGATGCTGATCATACCACCTAAAGCTCAAAACCCCGCAGGATCCTGATTCCCCACCACCCACTAAAATACAACTGCATGATCCAGCCCTTTGAGCGTCCTAAAACAGGTCGAGTTTTCATGTTTCTGTGTCCATGCACTCAAGTCGATAAGCTTCTGAGAAAGGACCTCCCAGAGTCAGAGGGCCTGGATGGGGTTGTTCTTGCCATGGCACCTCAGTCCTGGGACAAGGACCCTGATCTCTACTATAGGCTCAGAGATGAACAGTGACAATGACAGGTGCCCCTTAAATTTAACACAGCAGAGAGAGGAGAGGTGGGGATGAGAGAGGACAAGAGGTAAGCAAAGCAAGCAACTTTTTTAAGATTTTGTTTATTTGACAGAGAGAGAGAGCCCACAAGCAAGGGGAGGGGGAGGGGCACAGGGAGAGGGAGAAGCAGGCTGAACAGGGAGCCTGATGTGGAACTCAATCCCAGGACCCTGACATCATGACCTGAGCCGAAGGCAGCCGCTCAACAGACTGAGCCACCCAGGCGCCCCAGAAAGCAACTCTTTTAAACAGGAAAGGAATGGCTGTGTTTCCTGACTGCTATTCTGTTTCTGACACGGACGGTAGGACCTGGGCCTTCTGCTGTTGGAGTCTGTGAGTTAGACTCAGAAACATGCCTTCAAGAAGTGGGAAGAACAAACAAAGGAGGAAAGGGGGCAACTTCTTTAAAGGTTACAGGAGATGGTCCTGGGCTCAGCCGGCCAGAGAGCGGGGCGTGCTTTGCTGCAGGCACAAGAGAGGGCCTGGCCTGCGAGGCTCTTTGAGAGCTCAGGTTGAGCGGGGTGTACAAGGGGAGCATTCTCCGTTCACCTCGTGAAAAGCCTGCCCAGAATCTGGACCAGAGCCCGGGAGGCGTGTGATCGCCGCGATAGCACAGCACGTCCAACACAGAGGCTTCGTTTATTTTCTCTGCAGCACATTAAACAGAGTTAAACTCACAGAGGAAAGGCAGACCGTCCCTTTTCCCAGAAGACAGGTGCGGCGGTTTGCAATCCATTCTCACAGCCCTGCTGGGGAGGGGGCACTCCTGACCCGGTGAACTCCTCTTCCTCTTCAGGAGAGGACGGTAAAAATGAAGGGCTGTCTTGCTTACAGCCCGCTGAGAGGAGTTAATCCCTCACTGTTTTGAGACTTTAGGTTGTAAGGCCCTTCGGTTAGTTATAAGCCCACCACCCCCTTCCTGAAGTCACCCTCCACAGACAGGGCAGTGCGGGGAGACAGCAGCTGGCGATGTGAAACGGGCACTGCTTGCACACGCACGCATGTGTTCTCCATAAACAGGCCAACATTCAAATGACCTTCAACAGGAGGGCAAATGGTTCCGAGTCAGGTGGGAGGGGGAGTCGGAGAAGGTGCAAGCGTGGGCAAGGACTGCTCGATGCGAACACTCTGGGCACCTTCTGCGGGTAGGGCCTGATTTACTTCCAGGCTGTGTTATAGCTCCGTGGCTGACTAGTAACCTATCTGAGAGCTTTGTGTTTAGGAACTGTTTCCACTCAAGACTGTAATCCCAACTACATCAAAAGCTAATGATGTAATGTATGCTGATTAGCATAACATAATAATAAAAAATTTAAAAAAAAGACTGTAATCCCAGAGCAGATGTGCGTCCTTCCTAGGCAGCATCATCTACAAGGCGCCCATCAGAGTGGCACCAAGAGCATCCGAGGGGCTAAAGCAGCTCCATCAGCTCCGTGGCACCAACATGTCCCCAAGTGAAAAAAGGTTGTGAAGTACGGCTGAAACGATCAGTAGAAAACGGCTGCTTTGACTGCTAACATAGATGTAAGTACCAAGAGACAATGCAACCAAACTTAACCTTCAGAGAATCACCAGCCACCAAATGGCCATCCCTGAGCCCCCCTACACATCCACAGGGAGATGAGGCAGACAAGCAAAGGCAACACAAAAAACATTTGAGAGGAAGACTGTCGGGGATACAGAGAAGGGCCACATTAACACCCCTCTTCAGGAGCCTGTCACTCTCCTGGCTCCAGCTAGGAAGCCCACTCGAACTACCTGCACACTGAGAGAACATGCTCACCCACCCGTGCTGAGCTGACCTGAAGCTCCTCACCCCCCCATGGGAAAAGGTGCCCAAGAGACACTATGTGATGTGGAAACTCCTTGGCTGCCGGTTCTCCCGCGGAGGGGTGGAGGCAGCAGTCTTTCGCAATTGCTGACTATCCACTTTTGCCCCAGCCTTTCAGAGGCATGAATGGGCTTCCTCTTCCTTTATCCTATTTCCTGTCTGGCCAGAGTCGCAGGTGACTGGAGCACAAAGCTGAGGCGGTGGCATGTGGGCTGACGCGCCGGGCTTCTCCTGCCTGGCCTGCAGGGCTGAAGGGAAACTGGAGCTCCTCAAAGCCCGTAAATGGTTCTGGATTACTTAGGGACTGTCCATCCAGCTTAGGTTGAATCGTTCAGATGCTTTTTTCCCCACTCCCCTTGAGCTCAATGGAATGATTAAACAGTACGCAGCACCAGCACAAAAGAAAGGATAAAATTCCAAAGATGGTCAACTTGGGTGATTTCATCTGCTTTAGTTAATGTTGGCTTTGGTATAAAATAATCTACAAAAGTAGTAAGACATTAATTTTTGAAATAAAGTCTGAGCTTACTTTGGCTATGCTGTTTGCCTTTGATTAAAGAAGTGAAAGCGAACAATCCTGGAATGGTAGGAGAAATGGCATTATTCAACAGTCACTGGCTGAACTACTAGTACTTGTTAGGTGTGAGTAAGGTGTAGTCTCATCCATCAGGTAGTTTAAAATTAAGAGATACGGGTAGAAGTCTCATTAAAGGACTTAGGAGGTATTTTCTAAACAATTTGACTTCGTTGTTCCTTTTTTTTTTATTTTACCTGACTTAGAAGTGAAATCTCTGGTTAGAAATTGGAAGTTTTCAAGCAAGAGGCTTACACCTTTCACTGAAGCAACTAACAATCTAATAAGTGGTTTACAGTTTCTAAGAGTCCTTTTTGCAGACATGTAAATGTCACGGAAGCAAAGACAGGACCATGTTTCATGGAACTTGGTATTTGGATGCTTCAGTTAAGGTCCCAAATAAAGGACATTTCCTATATTTGAGTAGTAGCTAGACATGACCGGTTTTCTTCCATGTTCTGTGGGTCTAAGTCTCTGTATTTTATGACCAATCTCCACTTTCCATTGTACTTCTGTAGGAGGACATCCGGACGTCCACAACCATAGTCATGTGAATGGTGGTCCAAGCAGTCCCTCTCCTCAGCACATAGAATCCAGCAGGCATCTATGACTCCCCCTTTGTCCTCAGCTCCCTAAGCAAGTCTGTTACCCCCACTCTAAACTACTCTTGCTCAAAAAGAGGACTTTCCCTGCTCTCAGTCTAGGACCCTCAGCCTCACCAAGGCTCTGGTCGCCTATACTTGGAATACTGCCACAATTCTGTGAAGTAGTTGTTCCCTTCCCTAAGCCATCTTCAATATAGAAAGAACCTTCCAATTACCCTCCAAAAGCAGCATTTCCACCACATCACAAGGCTGCTCTGTGCCTAAGCCAGTCCCAGCTCTTCAGAGCAACTCTCATGATTCTGTATAACCCAACTGTTCCAAGCCTTCCAGCTTCTTCCTCCTGCTCCCCAAGTATGTGAGGTATGTGTGCCCTTCCAGTCAGGCTGGTCTCCTCGCGATTCTGCACACCCCACACTTGCTTTTGGCCAAGGGTCTTTGTTTACACTCTTTCCCACTCTCTCCTCCCTTGTCAGCCCAACCAGATCCTGCCCAGCTTGGCCCTAGCCTCTCCTCAGCCTTCACCTCTGATGGCCTGCTGGTGCTGGAGGTGTGGCCATTGTCATCTACTATCCTTTTTATTATGGCTTGAGCTAAGTTAGCTTTTCTGCCCTAACAGGCTGTCCTGGTTCTCCGAGGTCACAATGAGCTCAGTCGGTACACACTCACTCACCCACCAAGTGATCCCTGGATCTCCCCTCTGATTCCTCTTTCCTCACATTACCACATTCATCTCAAAAAGATTTATTGAGTGCTTGCACATCAGTTTGAAACTCACTGTCCAATATACCTCATCATGCACCCCCCAGTGAATAAGTCTGCCCAGGTAATTACAACAGATGGGTGCAAGGGAACAAGAAAAGGGGTGGGGGTTTAAAGTCAACCTACTGAACCACAATCTCAGGAGCAGGACCCAGAATCTGCACTTGAGCAAAACTGGTCCTACTCTGAATTGTGTTGAGTAAACTGCACAGCACAAAGTGACATGGCTACAAAATCTTACTCAATGTATACATTTATTAAATGTAGCTTTTTCCCTGACAGTGGAATTGTGTTTAGTAGTCTCTGTCTTCAGGTGGACAGTGAGTTACGTAAGGGTGAAAGTGTATTAAGTACTGCTCATTCTATCCCATTATGCATTCGGTACGCAGGTACAATTCAAGGCATTTTTGGATTAGATTCTTTTTAAAACTGCCTGTATTGCACAACTTTCTAAATATACTAAAAAAATATTAAACTATACAATTTTAATTGTGTGGCATATGAATTATACCTCAATAAAGCAGCTAATATATACTAGCAGATTAGTCAAAATGTATTGCTCCTGAAAACCAGAATGAGATACAACCAGTTCTTGAGGTCTAATGCACTCACGGGATGGGCCACAATGCACTGCTTCGTGTGCACCAGGCCAGCAAACAAGCTGGAAGGCAGGAGGCAAGACGTGGAGCTGCTCAAGACAACCTTATCATCGATGATTTGATCTAACTGAGCAAAAATCTTCTTCTTCAGCTCCAGGTTTTCTGGAACACATTCCTAGAAAGGACATATTCAAATTACTATTCATGATACTGCACTCAGGCCCCAAGCAAAGCATATGTCATGTTTGATTCATTCCCCAAATGAACCAATCAGAAAACTACTAGCAAAATTTAAGAACGAAACAAAAAGCTGCTGAAAAACGCAGCCAAATCTCCATAACTCTGGACACTGGGTGACACGCGTAGGGGAGCTGTATTTTCTAGTTTTGCATGGGTCTGAAAATTCCCCTAATGACGCAGTCTGCCAAGTCTATGGGGGTGGACCCGACAGCGCCTTTGGCAAAATGCTACAAGCGGCAACAGTCGTCATCGCCACTTATTTTTCCTATCTGTCCTGACCATCAGATCAACTTATCTTCAAGGAAAAATCTTATCTTCACGAAATGAACAAACATGTTACATCCATAATTCCCAAAAGGCTCCTTGAACATCCATTTCTAAGGGGAAATCCTTTTGCAAAGGACCTTTGTTTCTAAAAATCTAAAATTACTTTAATAGGGGCATGGGAGAAAGACAGAAGAGCAAATCTGGATTAAGTGCTGCAGGTAACACCACTCTGAAATTCTAATCATGCACAGAGCCGGGGTAGAGGGAGATGACATTCTCAAACACCCAAGTGCGGGCTGCCCACGGGTAAGGCCTGTTCCCGGGAATGTGATACACACAGTGGATACCGCCCTGCTGCAGATGGAAGCAGATGGGGGAGAAGGATACTCAAGCTGCTCCAGCACTAGAAATACTAGAGGTGTCCTTACTCTCCTGCCACCAACTCCCCTGGGAAACCACACAGCAGTCATTCCTACCCAAGACGGGTCGCAGCTTACTTGCAGGCAAGAGGCCTGGAAGGGGAGGTATCATGAACTCCCAAGGTTCCCTGGTGAATTTATAAGATAATGGTTTCAGTATGGTCCAGTAATCATCAGCATCAGGATCAACTGGGTGCTTGTTAAAAATGCAAATTCTCAGGCTCTCATCCCAGACCTACTGAATCAGTCTCTGGGGGTGGGGTCCAGATATCTGCACATTCATCAAACATTCTAATGATTTTTGTTCCTACTGAAGTTTGAGACCCACTAGTCTGAGGTGTGGATCCAAAGTATGGGTCATCTATACTCTCAGTATGGCATGCTACCAAATATATCCTCAAGAATCTCCCCACTGTGATGTCAGAGCTCTGTCCTACCGTCCTCCCCCAGCTACTCAAGGACCAACCAAGGACATCCTGATTATATTAGCATTGTGGTAGCAGAAATGGTATAAACACCAGCAGATAACCAAAAATGTGTAAAGGTGAACATGCAATGCTAAAGGACCACTAGTAATTATATGAGAATCACCCCTCAAAAATAAAAAAAATATGTTCAAGTTTGATTTAATAATACCTAATCGTTAATAATGAAATCTAGTATACTGAAATCAGCTGTGTAAATATTATGACAAATTCTATTTTTATATCATCTACAAGATTTAAAAAGTTTTACTCTGAGGGTAAGGAGTCAATATTGTATTTGTTTATACTTTTTTAAAAATATAATCAAACCATGTGAAATTTTATTAAGAACAAAAGGTCATATAAGCACCACATCTCAAACACAGGGAAAAAAAAAATGGAGTCATTTAAGAACTGTAAAGGCCATTGTATTAAATCTCCTTATCTAAAGGGGGAAAAAAAGCTACAGTAGCTGGCTGGTTGTACTGAGTAATTCCTGGATCAGTTAAGTCAGCAAGTTGGGTTAAGTTTAAATGGAGCCTTGTAGTAAAGCCAGAGACTAAGAATGATGCAGATACTGTTTAAGCTAATAAAAGAGTCCTCATGAATAGCCTTATTGTGAACCTGTCATGCAGATTCCCCCCTGAAATTCTATGCCTTTCTTCAGATCGTTTGATTATCAAAGAGGTAAGAAAACTTGAACCAGAGGAAACCCAAACCTGCTACAATTATGTAAGGATCTTTTAATGGCACATTGCTTGACATTTTTTGTTGTTGTTGTTGTTGTTGTTGATAGTAACAACTGTGTTCAATTTGGTGAGCAGGGTTATAATGCCTCTGTCCATGTTAAGCCTTGAGTTCATTTCCTTGCTATTCTTAGGGAGCCAATAGTCCTTGTCTGAGAAATGGAGTATGAAACGCTATTGATTAGGACCTTCAGCACTTGTGGTTGATTGCAAAGCTAAGAGAGGCTGGGAGGAAGGACAGAGAAAAGTACCAAACAATGAGACAGCTGAGAACCTAAATGCAAAGCAGCCTCACTCTCTCTCAACTATAGCAATGTGACCAGGTGAGAATCCAGCTGGTACCTTCTCAACGCAATGATGTTTTTTGGGGGTCCTTTCTAGAGAAGGCGTGAAGTGTTAGCTAACGTTCTATCACTACTGAAGGTAATGAGCTTGACTTGGCTTAATTAAACTCTGACAGCATTTTGAAAGCAATGATGATTATCTGTTTGTGTTCTGTTTGTTTTGAAGTGGGAGGGAGACACAGCACATAATAAAATTCTCACACACAACCACTATAGTCAGTATGCTCAGATTTCAACAAACAAAACTCTGGGGACAAGTAAAGCACAATGTAAATTCCCAAGTACCACAACCCTACCTGGTACATCAGAAGGAGTTCACTCATCTCAGGCAGTATCACATAGTGAAAAGGCAAGGTAAAGTTTAAACACTCCTTCTTCCCTTGTCTTCTTGAAAGGAAGAAACTGAATAATTGTATTATAGGTATAACTTTTAATTCTAACTTATATTTTAAAAGGTAAATTATTTATAAACTTTGGTGTTTTGTTATTAGTCAAAATTACCTGTGACAGCATTTAACTCATTAGGAATGTTCTAGAAAAGCAGGATGGCCATGGCAAGTCAGTGTACTGGATAATTCCTAGGCAAAAGGAATAAGAACTCGCTTCTGAAGTTTACTCACTTGCTGTGCAACAATACACATTTTTCAAAACAAATATTTTCATGGGGAAAATGAAATTTCATTGATTTTTTTTTTAATCAATTCAGGCATTTTAGATAGGTGTCCTGTTGCTAGAAAATCTATATTTGTTAATGCAAAATATCTGGAAGCAATCTTCAATGTGCTTTCCAGAAAAAAAGTTAAACTAAATTAGAAGACCTCAGTACTTAAAGTATTTTACATGCAAGGAAGTTCTATCAGCCAACAGACATGGGGAAAGACATGGCAAGAAAAGAAAGGTGAGTTTAAACCCCACTGCAATCATGGCAGAAGGAAATTCATTCTCAAACTGAAAATGGAAGTGACCCACATTACAAAGTCTGTTAGCGCTAATTATACCTATTCAAGTTTTCATTATCACAGGCAATAAACTGTACTATGCCCTAACCAGAGGCTTTTTTTCCTTAACATCAAAATAAAAAGTTTTTAAAAGCATATTACAAATCCTAAACAGAGTTTACAATAATCTAGAACAAATTATACCCAACCGAGAGAGACTTTTCCAAAGTAAAACTCAGTGTAGACTGTATTTCGGAAAGTAACTTCCTGCGGATTAGGTGTTCCGGTTACCAGGATTATTGTTGTCTGCGTTAAATAGCAGTCTTTTCTATGGGTGACCGCAGGGAATGGAGAAGAGGCAGAAGGGGCACCTGCATCAACTGCTGTCCTGAGGAGTCGTCTATTCCCACCTTTCCAATGCTATTTCTGGTACCTTTTATGAAATCATTTATTTAGAATTGGGTTAAAATACTTGCCATGAAAAGAAAATACAATTAAAAATATTTCATTTAAGCCTGCAAATAGCATATAGTTTTACTGCATTTCTAAATATTTCTCATGAGGAAGACTCGGGATTTTTAATACAAAATTTTTACCTAACAAAGTGCTGGGAATAGCATAAAACACAAAACTGGAGAAGAGTTAAGTAAGGCATAAGGAATGATTTTTTTTTTAGATTTTATTTACTTGAGAGAGCAAGTGAGTGAGCACAAGCTGGGGGAGGGGCAGGAAGAGGGATAAGCTGACTCCCTGCTGAGCACAGAGCCCAAGGCCAGGCCCCCAAGATCACAACCTGAGCTGAAATCAGATGCCTAAGCGACTGAGCCACCCAGACGCCCCAAGGAATGAATTTTTAAGGAGAAAAATTAAAAATAAATAAATAAATTGATGTGAAGGATATCACATCAATCACTGAGACCATTTATTACCAGTGAGGACTATCCCAGGTGACAAATCTGAGAAGACTACATAAATTATTTTTTTTACATTACTTTGTTTTTGCCTCCATATCAAACACATGTATAATGCATTTCCATCAGGGAATCTCTCTTTATAATGCAGTAATTGTCAAAGCAGCAAAGAACAGGGAGAGGGTCTATTGTGAGATTTAGAAGGAAAAAAAACACAGAAATTAAAATATGCTTTTGTTAATAATAATTGGACTAGATATTTTTGCCCAAACACTTTGTTATTGCAATGAGTGAAACAACAAATTGCATTCAACATATTTTGTTGGATGACAACCACTGTTTCATGAAAATGTTCTCATTTTGAAAACAAGTTTTGTAATATCATAAAACTAGTTTCACTGCAACCATGTATATGTTTGACTATAAAATAATTTTATAGTACTTTCTACAGGAATAGTATTATCAAGGCAATAGCTATCTTTTTTTTTTAAGATTTTATTTATTTGAGAGAGAGAGCACATCATAGGGGGGAGGGTCAGAGGGAGAAGCTGCGGGACTCGATCCAGGGATTCCAGGATCATGACCTGAGCTGACGGCAGTCACTTAACCAACTGAGCCACCCAGGCACCCAAGGCAATAGCTATCTATATCTTGACTCCATATGTCCAAAGGAGAAGCCAAAAAGTCAAAATTTATAGGTATACCTAAAACAGTTCTTATTTATTCTTCAAATTTCTTTAATAAAAAAAGTCTAAAATATCAAAAGGTCAGTCATCCAATTTAAGAAGTCAGAAATAGAAAATAATAAATCCAAAGAAAAATAGACTACAATAAAGATGGCAGAAA